TTGTGAGAAAATTATGCAAAATTCTGAGCATTTTGGGAAATTAGACTGCTTACTGTAGTGATTTTTGTACCCAGAAGCCTCACATATTGTTCTCTGACATACTTCAATACAAAAAGAATGTTTCTGATTGACATTTCATTGCTTACAATGTCTTCAATACTGCCACAAGACCAAGATAGGGCAGCAAAGATCTCTTCATAATATGTGGGGGAAAGTTATTTGCATTGACTAGCTTTTTCTATCTTTTTGTTTCTACAGATTCTGACTGTATTTCCTTGTATTACAAACTATTTCTTGAGTTTTACAGTGATATACACATTTACTGTACTTGTCATTGTCTTGGTTGTCTTTCTCAATGCTCTAAATATGTGCTTATTTTCTTGTCATAGTGTATATGTCTTCAAATAAATTGAAAAGTAATATCGAATTTTGCGTTCCTAATTAAGTAATGTTTTCGCACGGTTACCATAATGCATATTGCTCATATTGCATAGGTCTGAGGCCTCTCCCAACATTATGCAATAAGATATTTTCAACTGTAGTAGTATTGACAGTTTCTAATGTTTCCTATGGTTGGTACAATGTACAGGCATGCATTTTCTACTCTCAACCTAATTGTTACACCTGAGGCTCTAGCTGAGGTACTATATCCTATTAGATAGTACACTACACTGTTGTCCATTTCTTGTAGAGTTGTCAGCAACAGTGTAGAGGGGACCTGAAGGCTCAGTAAGGGGACCCAGGCTACAACTATCCTACACAACAGAAATACAGGATGCAAGCACCAGAACATAGTCAGAACTTGCAGAACAGGCAGAGAGAGAGAGTGAGACAAGAGTAGAGTATATAGAGTGAGCCTAAGAGTACAGGACTACCTGGAGTAGACAAGATCAAGACTACAGGACCAGTCTGATCTTGTACACCTATATATACTAAACTACACAAGAGCACTCAGGGAGCATGAGCCACTAAGAATGATAAGCCATGAAGAATGAAAGAAAGGAATGTCAAAGATAAAGGTACAAAGAATGAAGGGATGGACAAAGGGTAAGAGACTATAGAATGAACAGAGAATGAAGGAGTGGTCAAAGGAATGGAATAATGAAGTAAGGAAGGGTAGTAG